CTATAATAATATATATCATATATATATATATTATATATATATATAATATAACTTTATTTGTCGTTTTAATGAAGTGAACAAGATACATTATATATTTCTATGGACATTGTAATTATATATATATATATATATATATATATATTATATATATATATATTATATATATATGTAATTATAATCATTATAATAACATTCTAAATTTATAAACAATTATATATAGAAAAAAAAGAAGACAAATTTGACAGGCTGCCGATGGTAACCGAGACGTGTGATAGTAACATTTCATTAGTGTTGACTAATATTTTCGCTCGTTATAGTAGGCGACTATTCGGCATAAACAACTGAACATCTTAATTCACTCCTATCAGTGATATAAGCAATAATATCACCATAGTAAGTTATACATTAGCTATATATAATTGTGATCCGCATATATAACATAGGCTCTCAGATGGTTGAGATAGTTGCTAAGTGCCGATGATCCATTCACCGGTATTCACAGTATTATGTTTATCCATGTGCTACAGGAGTATTGTTATGCCTACGCCTGTTAAAAATGGCGGCATGTTTGAAATGATGCTCGCACTGCTATGATTACCTAGGCGGGTCCGGTGTCCGTTCACTACACTTCATAGATAGTGTAGTGAAGCGTGAAAATTACGCCTGTATCATACAGGTTAAAATGATGCGTGGCAGACGAATAAATGATTGTTTGAGTGGTGCTCGAAGGGGGTTTGGAACCTAAGCCGTTTATGTGCGAGCCGCGTCTGAAAGCCGCGGAACGTCCGGAATCGACGGGTTGGACTGGCGCGCTCTGAAGAGTCGAGCGGTGCGTCGGGAACAGCATTTTCGCGGTGGTATCATGATCATGCGGTGACTGGTCAAGAAATGGCGCTGCGCTGGACTACCAGTCGCCGCGCCCTGCCCAGGTATATATATAACTTTATTTGTCGTTTTAATGAAGTGAACAAGATACATTTATATTTCTATGGACATTGTAATTAAGTCTCAGTAGATAGGAGCTTAACAATGAGGAATTATATCATTATTATAGTTTATATGCAAAACTTTATCGGTAGTAAATATATACTTGGAAATGTATATATGGATGGATGGATGGATAGATAGATAGATAGATAGATAGAAAGACAGACGGACGGACAGACGGACAGACATACGGACAACCAGAACGACAGACGGACAGACAGACAGACAGCCAGAAAGGTAGATGTGTGCGTAAACAGGCAGTACATTGTAAACAGTATCTACATAGATTGCCCACTATATAACAACGCTGGCTCAAGATTAACGCACATACAAACAATCAGTGGAAGGCACGAGCGGTGAAACACATTCCTATACGCTCTCCAGCCGCGCGACTGCTACAATTATTATTATGTGCACGGTGTTCCACGGCCGTGTCAGCTCACGCTCAACAAATTGACCTTCTGCGGCGCGAGCCAGGCAAACACGGAAGAGCCGGCCCGGTTATAATCGCAGCGATGATCTCACCGTAGTAGCCGCCAGCGTTTGTCAGCTCGCCGAGTCGTCCCGTCACTATATGGGCAATCTCATGGCAATCTATATGGGCAGGGACTCAGTAAGTTCGTCGGTTCTGCTTCGGTGATGGCCGACAACGTGCGGACGGACCGGTTGCTGGCGGTCGACGTCAGTGTTATCAGAAGCGGAGATCGGACGCGGAACCGCATCGCCGACGTCGCGCATTCACGGCGGCATCGTGACGACGGTAACATAGCTACAGCGAATCTCACGGCTAACTGCGGCTGATCACGTCGATACTAGGACGTGACCGTTAGTGACCTTTCCCGTTAGCACGTCGGCTTGCTATAGTTCGAAACGACATTCACATTAACTGCTACTAGAAGACGGATAGCGAGCGAGAAAGAGAGGTAGGGAATTTTACATTCGGTATAGGTGAGTTCTTTCAAGAAAAGATTATCGCGCATTGTCAGTTGAGATCCTGGCAAATAGTATTGATAATAGAGTTTTCAGTTTAGTTAGGTCGATTACTCGTTAGTTTGCATGTTAACCAAATATGTGATTTATGCTGACTTGTAAGTTGGCGTAGAGTAGATGCATGATTTTAAATATGTGGTAGTTGCATGGGTGAGTAGGCGCATGATTATTACATCTTTGCTGTTAGGTGAGTGAGCGCATGAGCGAGGACGGCATAATTTGGCGTGTTGAGCAAAGATACTGGCCAGAGAGTCGAGAAAATGCCTACGAACACGTCGACGATGTTGCGCTGGTTCTTTGTCTTTTGGACAACAACAACATTGGCAGCAGGCAACTATAGTAAGTGCGTAAATGAGTAGGTAAATTATGCGATAATCAAACTATGCAAATTTTTTTTTTAGCTAAATAGGAACGTAGTTGGAACATAATTGAAGCAGGTTATAGCAAGGAAACGGCAGACGAGGAAGAACGGAAGAGAGCGAGGACGAGCAAGACAGACAACACACACACACACACACACACACACACACACACACACACACACACACACACATTAAGCAAACACGTGACAGAGAGACTAAATCTACATATATGTGCAATACTCCGAGAACAAATTTCAGAGGGTAACCCATGGGTGTACTCTATTATGGTATCGAAGAATCCGGTGACGTCCAACTGCGCTCTATTATTGATCACATGACCTTTTGGAGACATCCGAAACCTTCATTCTGTCGATGTGGTTTGATCGCGGGGAACACGTGATTCACCATGGCGGACATGAACTGTCCAATTACCAATTACCAATCCGGTACAACATTAAATGTCAGGTGTTCCTTGATTGAATTAAAATTTCGATATATTATAGGCATAAAACGACATATAATTGACATGTTTTAGTATGGACACACGTAAACTTACAATGTCGTCAACAATGTAATCTCAGTTTTATTTGTATCATAGTCAGAGTGCGGCAAAACATCAGTACTAAATAAAATTTAGTATACAAATTGCAAAAATGCAACTTTGTCCGCCATTTTGTTCTCCACATTTGGTCCATTCGTACTCTATTTCCATTTCCACTGGAGAATTCGGTTGGAGGTTTCGGAGGCGTAAATAGAGTACGCCCCATGTGAATGTAAGGGCACATACAGACACGGCTTCTTTTTTGCACACAACGTGGTTCTACGTACAACGTGGCAGAGCTGAACACCGGTAGTGTTAAAGCGTTTACGTACTTTCGCAGAGTCATGCACGCGCGCTACAGGATGATCGTGCTTGGTAATGTGGGAAGCACACATACGGTATAGTTTCTGTCGAAATTTATCATTTTGCAGCTGAACAGAGTACTTATAAGCTGTTAACTGTGTTAGCTGTTAGCTGTTAGCTGTTAGCTGTTGGCTGTTAGCTGTTAGCTGTGTTAGCTGTGTTAGCGGTTAGCTGTGTTAGCTGTGTTAACGTTATGTGCTACCCGATTGATGCGCTCTTGTTGAAATGCAAGATATTCCACCATATGTGTGCTTACATCATATTCTCAAGCATTTGAGCATTTGAGTGTATTCGATGTCGTAATTGTTACGATGGCCATGTACAAGTTCTATTCTATACCAGTTTTATCAATGATTTAATTTCCACGCGTGTGATGTAAAGCAAGATATTCATATAGAAAAAGCCGTACGTGTTTTAATAGCTCAATATAGTCACATTATGCGTCAGCGCTATGCATGGTTGTCACTCTTGATTGATTACGAAGTAATGCAGACGGTTCTGCGTAGGTACTTTGACCTCGTACATTTATCCTTGTTCACCGGGCTCTCTTTTCCGCGTTCAACCGTTCCTTATCTACTATAGTTTAATCCGTCTAGCCGCGGGCAGGCGCTTATCGTCACGCTCCTGGTCTGCATGCGTTTCACTTGTAATGTGTGCACCCTAGCTAAACCCAGAACTTAGATAACTTTTTTTGTAATACCATATACTGCTGTCGTTGTCCAGTTTAGTGCCATTTTTCGATTGTCGCTCATCGATAATCGTTTCTAGCCACTTCTCTCGCTTCCGGTCGCGTCCGCTCGCGTGCCTTTGCTCCCGCCCGACGTCCCATTTAATCGGTTTATCTTCCTTGCTATCAATGCTCTATCTCTGTATTTTTCTTCATAGTGAGTAGCTCCCCATACTTGAGTACTCGTACGTTTATCTCATTATCGTGTTGACATGAATGCATCCGTACGACAACATTCGCCAAGTGCTACCCAAACTACTCAACGGGAACCCGTTTGATCACGCTTCCACGCTCGGTAGGCCAGTGATTACATGCCCCTTAAAAGACATTTGGTACCAATTGACATCAATCGGACACAACAGACAGAGGTAGGGTGGGCGAAAGAGCGAGACACGTGAGTACCATTCGCTGCGTTCGAGCTATGAAAATATTACTGCTGAAGAAATCAACGATACAAATAGTGTGGCGATAACCGCGATTACGCAACACTTAAACGAGCTTGACCAGTTTATATCGTAAGATTTTTTTAGCTGGTTTATTTTTTAAGGAAATTAAATTGTAATATTCCAGGATGTATAAGAGCTAAATGGTACGTGTCACGAAATGATGTGAGTAGGTGCTAGAGTCTCCGTATTAAACGTAGAGTTTGATTAGATGATAGCGGAAGATGTGTTTGCAATCTATAGGGCAATTAACCGCAACAAAAAAGACGAATATACAAGCGCGATGGATGGCGTACTGGTTGGTACGATATTTACTCTACTTGCATCCGTATGTGCGAACGTATTTGGACAGGCATATCGTATGTTACTCTCATTATTTCGCTAAATCAACCTATGAAGTAAACAGCTAAATCGAATATAGGGAGAATTTAAGTCCGCTCTTATATTAGAGTGCGCTCGACATACACGGGTGCTTTTGCCAAGCCGACACGAATACGAATTTAAAACCGTCAACAAGGCCACGCGCATTTCGATTATATATATGATTTGACATTGAACAGTATGAAATTTCTCGGAACATATTCCTTACTGGCAGGTGACGATTATCCTGTGTTGGTCGCTGACAATAAAACTTGGCGATCATTTTGGTGGTACGATCCACAAAACGGATGGCCAAAACACGAGACAGATGTTCTAGGAGGTAAGCGCCATAGAATTGTGTGTATATATATATATATAGTTTTTTGATAGATAGATAGATAGATAGATAGATAGATAGATAGATAGATAGATAGATAGATAGATAGATAGATAGATAGATAGATAGATAGATAGATAGATAGATAGATAGATAGATAGATAGATAGATAGATAGATAGATAGATAGATAGATAGATAGATAGATAGATAGATAGATAGATAGATAGATCGTTAGACAGATAGATAAATGTTACTTGCAACGTCAAAATCGGAAGTGTAGAGCATCTATAAACGTTTCTCACTAGACACTTTCACAGCAAGTTTGTTAGGTATTCGTAAACGCACAAGCATATATGGAACGGGTGGAGATATATGGGATCACGCACACATAGAAAAACGCCCGACCGCACATATTTCGTATTGCAATTTGTTATGTAGCTGCGACAAAATGCCGGCCGAGTGGCTGATGCTGCCTAGCATAGACACTCTCGTGCCACCAATGGCATCAACGATGTGCGATAGAGAGGATTCAAGTCAGTACATGGACAAAGACGGGCTATCAAATCTGATAACGTGTATGTCAAACTAGTAAAACAGGCAACTATATCTTCTATCGAGTTACCACATTTCTTGTCATATACCTCATAATAATATATACCACCTGGTAGGACACACGTCACTGTCGGTCTTTTGATTAATAGCTAGCCAATATTTTGACGGAATGCAATATCTAGATTTCAGTCCAGATCTCAACAGATTATGCTAATGTGTAGAAAGAAAGAATAGTGACAAAGGTTATTGGATGATTAAGGAAATGAGTACATGTTATTTGAGATACGTTTATTAAACGCGGAAGACTTCCCTAACATAATATTTTATCTGTAACAAAACAGTTATCGCCTGGTTGATCAGGTAACATTTTTGTGGGTTACTAAGTTAACTGTTAACCGGCGACTTCCGGTCTCGGGCAACATTGATGTCTACAAAACTACATGTTTTACTCGCGACCAGGCGATAACTATTCTAAATATCATTTGATGTATTCTGTTTACCCAACGCCATGTCTTACCGGCGATGACTTGTCTTGAAGAATATATCGCGTTCGTTACGACGTTTACACGCATGCTTAGTACAGCCGATGAACTGGTCCATAATAGCATAGAAGGATAATAACCTAAATATATAATAATTTTATTCATTGTCAATATCTGCTGCCGTCTAGTCGAATATGGCAAATGCGAAGCTGATCAGGTGTACTGCTTTGGACGTCTTCCCATGCAGTTAGTAGAGAAACATACCGAACTACTTGCCCAGGATTCCATGGGAAACGTGAAAGATTTAGGTGGAAGCGGGATTTGTAGGCGTGCGCGGTGTTATAACGTGAAAAATGATAGGGCTGTAGGTTCATGTTGACCCTGAGCAACAACAGCCTTGGCGGATTCACCACGGAATCTCTAGATTTATATATAGATCACTACCTTGACCTTTCGCCCATCAGTATAAATAGCGCAGAGGCATGTTTTACGTACCATAAAATATAACGTTTAATATTTCAATAACATTGTGTCAGAAATTTGCATCTTTGAACTTAAATATCCAGGGTAAATGGCACTATACAGCTGCAATTCACCGATGAACATACTGCGCTGAGTTCCGCAGGAAAAACAGACTCAGTAAAAAAACTAAATAAAAAATTCCCTGAAACAACTTACTTCCCGTTTAGGTTGGTTTTTCGAATAGCAAATTAATGAATAAGAAAGTTACATATTAAAAGTAAGAGATTCAGACGTTTCGAGCAATATCTTCTATATCATCGCATATTATCACCGTACAAAGAGGATGAAGTTTTCTAATTTACTATCGATGACACAACTGTAACTTATTCTTGGCGTATATAAGCGCTGAGCTTGTCGACAATCAAACTACAAATGAAATTTTTCTTCGTGTAATGTAAACTTTGCTGTAACGTATGGAATTCCAAATTTTGTAAAGTTTTATAAAAAAAAAACCTTGGAAAGGCAATCAGGGCGTCTTTTAAATGCTTATACAAACACGCGATTACATTAATTCATTTTTTTATTTATTCAATTCATTTAATTTCTTTATTTTGCATGTAGATGGTACTTTGATCCTGACATACAGTTGTCACATGCTGTATGGCAAGCTATGCACGATCAGAATGAGGTTCAAGTGATGAATGGTGGAAATTGGACACATGACACGCTTGCAGGTAGCTTTGTAGCAGTAAGAATGAAATACTTACCGATGACATGAGATGCTTCCATGTTTACTGAAACGCTAATTGTCAGCATACAGATGACGCTGAAATCGTTTACAAATTACATGTAAGCAGCTCTAAGCACGCTGAATCAAATACTGGGTCAGCAT